CTTTTAAAGGATACCTGCCCAGTCCCTGCTGGGGCTGCAATCAGATTTCCCTTAAAATCATCAAAAGCTGAGCCTTCCAAGCAGGAAACATCCCCATAAAATCTGCAAAGCGGAATTATCAACAGAGAGGCTGTGCTGCCAGTTCTGGGCGTGAGCAGTTGGGATGGAAATACGGCAGAGATCACAAAATAACCACCCGGTCCTCGGCTCTGCGGCTGCCTGCTCCTGCGGACGGGGTCCGGCTGGGCTGCCCAGCATGCTGGCACTGCCTCGGGGGCACAGGGTCCCATGGCAGGGAGAGTTTCTCCCACCCAGAAATTATGCCCCCACTCAAAAGAGCTGAGCTGATGGCCAAGCATTCAGCTTCGAGACCTGTGCTGGTACACGTGCTTTGGGTTTTATTTTTGCACGCCTGTTTTCTACTGTGTTTGTGGTGACTGAATGAGGGGGAATGCTAAAAAGCACTTTCAGCCCATTAAATCAAATTAAATATTTCAGAAAATCTGTTCTGGAGACTCAAGGAAAAATGGGATGGCAAGGCACAAATCTATTTTCCGCAATTTTCTTATGATTTACGCTTAGAAGACTCACATATTTTTTCTTTTATTTCCTATAGCCTCTTTTGGCTTTCTCATCTATTGTCAAAAGAAACCAAAAACAACCCCCTCAAAAAATCCCACTAAATTGAAGGCTGTAACAAGCACATCTTAAAAGTATCAATAACGCTGAGTACTGAAAGAGCTGGGAATGCTTAAAATTCAGCTGCAATTTTAAGTAGCATGTTCATCCAAATTACCGCTGCAATACCTATCAACCTCTTCCTCTCTAAGACAGACACCAGCAATATCAATTATATTTTTTGAAAGATCTAGGGAGAGATCAGTGGCTTTGGGAGAAATCAAAGAGAAGTAGCGATTAAAGAAGACTCCCAGGGGCAATAAAGTATTTATGCAAAATGTCTCATGAAAACAAAACAAATAAGGGGAAGGAAGCTATATAGGGGGAACAGGGGCAGAGGTACTTACACTCTTCTTCCATAACAACTATTTTAGTTTCTGAGGCTGGAAAGACTTGTGGTGCTTTCGTTGTTCCTGGGGAAATTAAGGTAAGAAAGTAGTGAACAAAATATCTCTTTTGAGCGGAGAAGAGCGGGCTTAGCTACTGCGGGGAGGAGGACAAGAGCAGGTGCTGCTGGGTGGCACGGGCTGGGGTGGCTGTCAACGTGTTAGTACTGGTTAGAGGATGCTCAGGTGGGTAACTGGGTAACCAAGGTGGATAAAGGAGTGTCCCAGCAGGGCACACCAGTCCCCTCGCTGTAAAGAGCCTCTTGCCATTAGGATCTCTGTGGTGATAGAAAGGCAGAAATGGCTCAGGATTCACCCAGCAGGTGACAAGCGGAACTGTTTCCGCAGCCCTGATGGCCACGAGAGTGCAAAGACGGGATCGCAGAACGCGACAGTGAGAGGTGTGGAGTTTAAGAAAAGGTGAGGTCATCTGAAGAGCCTCCATCCCCCAAGTATCTGCAGTTCCACAGCACAAAGTCACGCTCGTACGAGAGATGGAGGAACGTGAAACAGATGAAGGCTGTGGCCCAAAGCTATATAGGAGTCAAGCGTGCGTAGCGATTCCCTCTTTATAAAGAGGATACTGGAGAAGTCCAGCATCCACAGTCACCAGCTCTACTCAAGCCTGCTGACAGCAACAGCCACTTCTGGACCAAAGCTCCTCACCACCCTCCAGATGCACCATGGAGAAAGCACCAGGAGCCTATGCTGTGCCTGCAGCATCCTGTCAGAGGCAGGGGGTGAGACCACCATGAAAAGGTAAAAGCAGAAAGATTTATTTTTTTTTAAAGTTTGATTTTTTTCCAAAAAGGGGAGTAGGGTGTCAGCTAAGCAGGTGCCCAGAAATTTTCCAAGAAAAAAAAAAAAAAAAGAGCCTGGAACAGCCACATGTCAGCTATGCCCTCATACTCATGTGATACTTATATTAGACTACTCAATAAAGAGAACTTGGAAATGGGACAGTTTTCTAAGGAAGCACCTAATTTTCCTCAAAGTAATAAAAACCTGAAAGTAGCACCAAAGCACAACATGTTTGGGCTAAGCCCAGAAGCATTTCCTCAGAAACTGACACCCTTCCAAAGCTTTTTCAAGGTAAAAGCATTTATTTTTCAGCTGGACATTTTGTGGAAATACCAGAAATGCAGAGGAGAGATGAGGTGATGAGTTTGGCCAATGGGCACTCTTTAAGTGACAAGGGGTTGCTGCACTGCAGCCACTCTCTTTCTAAAGAAACCTCCCCTTCAGTGTGGTGTTTTCAGGGGTTTGCAACAGATCTCTTTCGAAAATGTCATAAACCAAAAAGTGGTAGTGGAGTAGAGCAAAGAGTACTTTGCAATGGCAAAGCTGCCTCAACAGGCTGAGAAATTTTCACCAGCACAGACTGAATCTCAGACCTTCACATCCACAGCATTGAAGGTCTCGTGTGAGCAACTTCTCTGCCAGCTGGGACTCAAATTAAGAGGGCTCAGGAGCCTCCGTTTCTGGCCTCTGCACCCCTGGAGGGGAACAGCATGTTGGGCTGAGGATACCTCACTCCTCCACGATGCTCATCTCAAGCTTCAACAGCTCAGCCCACCTCTTGCAATGTCACCTCCCTACAGGGGCACCCAGAGATGTCCCCAGACCTCGTGTCTCTGTATCACAAGATCTGCCGTGAGCTCAGGACTTTTTCCCAGCCCTGGATTCACCCGCCTGTATCGCAGCAACATTACAGGACCTCCAACAAGTGTCAGGTCAGAAAGTGTGCTTCCAGCGGACTGACCCAGAGCATCAGTCCCAGCCAGCCTGCCCAGGACAAGCAGATGCACCAGGTTCCCAGGGACCAGCAAAGAAGCAGAATATAAAGTACCAGAACATATAGAAACAGCAATAGCTGGAGTAATATTCTGGGAAAGAGGGGAAGGCTCCAAGAGGAGGCCAGTTCACACGTCTGCTCTGATTAATTGTTACAAACTGCTAGAACTTCACAGAGCTCTGTGTTGAGATGTAGCCACAATAGGATCAGTGCTAAGGAGCCTCAGGAAGAATGCAGGCAGGGACAGAAGACAGCACACACGTGGGTTCAGAGACAAGCAGATACCCTGAGGAGTTTTCTACTGACAGACATCACAGAAGAAGGGAGCTTGCAAAAGTGAGGAAGGCTGTCATAGTCCCAGGAAGACCCAGCAGTAAGTAGAGACGGAAACTCCAAGATAGCAAGTGCCCAGGCATGGGTGAAGGCTGCTCAGCTCTGGGTGGCTCCAAGCAGGAAGGGAAAAAGGGGTGCAAAACGGATGACAGAGCTGCAAAATCCTACAGCAATTGCCTCTGCCTTGCTTAGCTTTGCAAGGGACTACAACTAGCATTCCACCGCTGTCCTGCCAGGTGACCTGCAATAGCAGCAGCCAGCTGTGCGTGCAGTGGGGAGCGGCAAGCCAAGGCAGATGTGCGAAGCAGCTCAGAGAACGGATTAATGAAGCGCTGCCACAGCAGGGCACAGCAGGGAATCTGGATCTGCAGCACCTTGCAGCCTGCCACTCCCACTAAGAGAAGGTACAGGCTAGATCTCTGGGTCTCTTTGGTGGCTTTTCAGGTCTACACACATTTTGGGGCAACCAAGGTGTGACCTCATATGCCCCTGTGACCTGAGTGAGAGCAAACCCCTGTCCTTGCCAGGCAGCACGTTGTCCTGTGGAGGAAGAGACAAACCCTGACAAGTGCTGCCGTCACCCGTGTGTGTGGGAAGGGGATGTTTGACGTTGTAAGAGGCCAATGGGCATTGTCCTGGTGCAGGCTCAGAGCCATGCAGCAGGCACTGCTCAGTCAGGCTCTTCCTCTTGCTAGGGACTGTGAAGGGCGAGTGGAGGAGGCAGGCACGGCTCCGATGACAGGCACCTGCTGCCCGTGCATGTTGCACATGCAGCTCCCAGTCAAAACAGGGATATTTTACATTGCAGTGGGGCAGCTGAACCATAAGTCAGAAAAAAAGGAGTGGCACTGCCTCAGTTAGCTTACCCTGGACACCTTCCCCATCGCAACTGGAAAGAAACATGGCAGAGCAGCAGGGCTAACCTCATAGATGTGAAGCACGAAAGCACGGAGGTCTGAGCATGCATGGCCTTTCTCCAGACTTTGCAAGCACTGGGTTTTTACAGACAGAGTAACTGAAGGGGAGGCTAAGTGGTATTGCAGCTTCACAGAATAAAAGACTCGGGACCACAAACACTGCTGAGGCAGGGGTTAATAGAGAAAATAATGCCAGGAAGCAGCAGGAGAAAGCTACCTTCCTTCACATTTGTCCAATGCTAATAAGAGCATTAGTCAACAGAGAAACCAGATCAGAGCAAAGGGCTGCAGAGCCCGGAGCCTGGGCTCCCACAGTGGCATTCCCATTGTGAATGGCAGGAGGAAGAGCTTAGAAGCAGAGCTTGTACAGAGTCATCCCTTCCCCAGTCACACCCTCCCGGCTTCTGGCAACCAATGCAGAGACTTTCTGAGCTGCAGGGTACACCCAAACCATCATGTTAGGCAATATAATTATTATGACCAAGATAATAATAAAACCACCTAACCTCAGACTCCATCCGCTGAGCTCTAAGAGATGGAGCACACATTCTAGGATGAAAACCAGAAGCAACTTCACTCATCACAAAACTATGGTTTAATTACTTGTCTTCTGGTGAGTTTTGCTTCTCAGAAATTCTTAAAAAAAATAAAACATCAAGCCCACCAGCTTTCTTTCCTCCTTAGTCCTTTAACAAAAAATGCATAGACTGTAAGTTTATTTAAAATGTAAATTAATCACATTGCCAGTGACAGATAACAAAGATAAACATTTATGCTAAGCTGTATTTTTCTTATCTCCCAAGATTATTTTACTCGATATCCTGAAAGCATGAAACAAAATACAAGACAGATCACGTGCAGAACCTCCCACTTCCTGCTTGACTGGCAGACAGCTCAAGACATTTGCTGGCTTCTTCACTTACCACTTTTCACATTCAGGCTTTTTCCCTAAAACGTTCTCCGCTTCGCAGCTGTACTCCCCAGCATCTTCCAGCTTCACCTTGTTGAACTGCAGTCTGGAAATCTTTCTGTTGAAAAGTACAGCAGACATTTCTTACTCGATTGCTAACCGTCCTCAAGAATTGATAACCATTCCTGGCCCTGATATGCTGCCTGCTCACCCTGTCTTGAGAGGATGGGCTGCCTGACCTCACTCAACCTTGCCCAGGATTCAGGTGAGCCCATTCCCAGGAATCACAGCCAGCGTGATTTCCTAAAGGAACATCTCCCTCTGAACACGCTGCTTTTAGTGTATGGCCATGGCTTGGCCTGATACGTGTTCTCAGCATCACAGAAAGTCTTGCAAAGGCGTGAGCCCAGGAATCCCAGCATCCCAGCACACAGACTTTCCGCACCAGAGAAAAGTCACTTTACTGACGGGGAGCGAGATATGTGTTCTGCACCTTTCTCAGCAAGGAGGCCGAGCAGCCCAGTGCTTCACCAGCTGCGTTCAGCAGTGCTGCACAGTCAAGAGCAAACACCTGCGGGGTCAGAGGGGACTCATCCCTTTCCAGCCTGTAGACCAAAACTCTCTGGTTTGACCTAGTCAGGTATCATGTAGCCTTATCCATGCCAACAAACAGAGCAAGTGCTTTGCCTCCCCCAGATACACACACTCCCCAAGTACTACAAACATGTGGAGCTGAACTGCACGCCATCGCCTTATCAGCCAGAAGTGCCTAGAAAGAGCAGAAGAGGTGCACGTGATGACTTCCCGTGTCACCCAACAACCATGGGAGAGGCAGCAGCTCCGCGGCAGCGATCCACGGTGCTACGGTGAAGACGAGCATCGCCTTTCCCGCCGGCTATGACTGATGTCTCGTTCTCTGGGATGTCTCTTTGACTAACAAGCAAAACCTGTTGTTGCCTAGTTTAACAGCTATAGGAGCCTTCAACACGTGCTGAACAGCACTCATGACAGCACAGCAGAACCCTCCCATTAGGCCCTCTGTTTTAATACATTTCCTTCCATTTTAGCCATCTGATCAAAAACCACCTGTGTACTCTTCCCATGTGAACATCTCCCTGTTTTATACCCTTTTATCTCAGGTCTGTGTTACACAGCCACTTTATTTGGAGACTCGGTAATACTGCCAGCTTTAGAAAAAGATCCCAGTTGCCTACGTCGCTTAAGGCAAATATAATTCCTTTTATGTGGAAAATAATCATTAGCTTTTGGACATATTTGCAATATTACATTGTGTCATCTGAGAAGGACTTTTCTTTGGGCTGTGCAAATCATCGTCCATAGGAAGTCCTTCACAGAAGCTCACTGGCCTCTTTTTAACACCCTGACATGCTGTTCTACTGGGAGGCACAGCACAAGGACACAGCATGAACATCTCACTAGCTATATTAGTAAATTAAAAGCACTTGGAGACAGCTTGGTACAGCTCCCAGGACAGAGGCGCTGCCCTGTTTTACAGGATGCGGTCAAGTGTTCAATTGCACGAGTTCAGACCCCATGCGGAGCAGTTTTTAAATGAATGTCGACAGTGTGCAAAGATCTCTCGAATCTTTCTAATCCTAGGTCTCCCCTCATCCACTGTGCAAAGCCAATGATTTGGGCACACACGCTCCAATGCGGGTGCCTAAACACGCAGTCTGGTTCAGAGTGATGCAAAGCCGCCTGAACTGCCAGTGCTCTGTGCTTCTCTGAACCTTCTCAAGGCTCTCAGAGCAACCTGTGACAGTCCTTGGCATCATGGTCCTTGCTGCTGCAATCTTAGGAGTCAAGCAACACCAAGGAGACAACAAAGCACTTAAAGTCCTCCAGGACCTGTTGCTGCCTGGTTCTGCATGTTGCTGGGGAGGTGTGATGGGCACCTGGTGAAGGGGATTGGTTCTGTTGTGCTGTAGCACCTGGTCCGGGACCGCGTTCCTCCCTCCCTCCACAGAGGCAGGTGCAGGAACACTCAACAAAGGGGTGAGGTGGGCTCCTGCTACTACTGCACGCAGCTCCGAGACTTCACCCGGCACTGCCCAGCCCTTACTTTCTCTCAGCTGTCTCAACCCTCACTGACAGAACACACCGTTTGTTTAACAAGCCCTCCGACACAACAGGCTTGTAGCTATTGCTGCAGCACAGAGCGAAAGCAGCAACACATACATGTTGAAAGCAGCTTGGAAAAGCCAGGCTTTAACTCTATGTCCTGCAGAAAACATCACCCTCACGCACCAGTCAGTGGAGGCTATCTGCCAGGGCAGAGCTGAATGAACACGTCGCCTTCAGCTGCTCGAGGACAGATCCTCTAATGATAACTGGCCCTGCTGCACTCTCATATGCACAGCATGTCTCACCATGTGTAGTAACCAGAAAAATCCACAACAGCATTAGAATATCACCTATGTACGTGATCTTTTACAGGGAAATGGTTTTAAGTCCCAAAGATACAAATTAGTAAGTTATTAGTGACACAAAAGGCTAATGAAAGGGGGCAAATTCGACAGATTCGTCTCCAAGAACAGGATGAGAGACATTTGGTCTCTTACCTGGAACTGGAGAGGAGCGTGTGCAGAATAAAAAGCAACGATGGCATTTGCAGTGTGTCAGCATCAAGGTGAACCCAAAGAGGATTATTTTGTTTTAATAGACAACTGTCAAAAGAACTTATTTTTCATCAGAGTTTGTTGGAATTATCCTGGATTTTAAGATCCCCTCAAAAAATCAAGAACTTTTTCTGCTTTTCGTACCCCACACTAATGCTATAACTACTCTTGGTCTCCACACTGTGATTCTTAATGTCATGTAACAGATTTAGGGGACAGAGAGGAAGGGTGCAGTCAAAGATCAGTTTTAAAGTGGAAACTAGCCATAGCAGAGAGAATTTCCCTATTCCAGGAAGCACTGAAACAGCCAGAGAAATACCTTGGTTGACAGCGTTATTCACATGCCTTTTAATTCACATGGATAATGCCTGTGCATTAGAAGAATTGAAATGAAGGAGGTAAAAGAGACTAGACCTCGCTTGATCTGTATGTGGCAGAGACAACCAGTGTGCCTCTATTTTAAAACGTCCAAGTGCTGATAAAATATCTCAAAATTACCCTGGAAATTCTTTTTTTTCAAGTACCTGACAGCAGGTACTTTGTTCCCTTGAGGGCTGAAATGCCTCCTTTTTTTCCCAGAAGGAGCAAGGAGTTGCAGACAAGGAATCATGTTGTGCACAGGAGCTTTGCAGCAAGTTGCCTGCTGTTGTTGCGGGCAGCGTGTCTCCTGGGGACATCAGTCCCTGGGAACACCAGTCCCTGAGAAAGCCCCACCGGGTGCCTTCACAAGGGTGCCCGGCTGCCAGACGGTGCCGTTCTTCTAGAGGAAGGCGCTGCCCCAGGCTGTTTGTTCAGTGAAAGGGCCAGGGTCACTGACAGATCCCATCATTTCACTGCAGTGCCACTCCGCTGACATTTCTTTACTCCAGGGGAAAAACTGCCTCATTGTCTTTCCTGACCCTCAGCACATATGACTTAGCCACACACTAATTATCTCCTGTAGTGCCAGTGGAGGGATAAGCCGTGGGGAATATGTTGTCTGCAAGCTCTGGGGGACAGGATTCACAAGGAGACCTTCAGCCTGGCCAGAAGAAGATCCCCTAAAATACCTTTGTGGCCAAGAGAAGAGAGTCCCCAAGAGGGCAGTTTGGAGCGATGAGTGAATCACCCTTTGCAGTGCCAATCTCCAGACTACAATGGGAAACAAGGAGATCAGCCCTTGGCCGGGACCTACACAAAGATCCCAGCAAATTCTGGCCGGGAAGGGTGGCCTCATCTGCTGTAATTTAGACATCTCAGAGTTAGACATCTAAATATGAGCTCGGGCCCTGAGGCCTCCAGTACAGTCAGAGGAAGAGAAACAGGCACTTCATCTCAGCCAAGGAGGAACTTTTCATGACAGGAATCATGTTTCCACCAGCACTTTGGTCAAGCTTGACCTACTGCTTTACCTACTGCCAAGTGAAAATGGCACCGTCTTCCCAGGTAATCTCCTTGCAAAGCCATTCATCTCTGAAACATGTGAGCAGGAGAGCAGCTGCCACAAGCTCTCCCAGACACCTATGATTCACTGAGGACTCAGTATCCCCCATGTGAGTTCAGCCACTTCTGCATCACTCAGGACAAAAATAGCTCTAGGATTACTACTGTTGTAGTGGTTTATTAGTCCTCTAAAAACAGGGTAGCTAACATGTAAGTAATAAAGAAGTCAAGGAAGCAGCTGATGAGGAGAATTTGAAGACTACACCATATGTAGCCTCTAAATTGTCAATGAAAAAGCTGCACATAGTAAACACACCAGAGATCCTAGGAAAAGGAAATTCCCAAACATAACCCTTGCAGAGGACACGCTGAATACACCACTGTGGTTACCTATTAACTCCATTCCTCTCTGTTTGCACAGAGAGCCGGTGGCAGGAAGCACACTGATACTGCAGAGAGCAGAAAGGCCAGCAATTGCGGTAACGCACACCGCTTACACTCCTGCCAGAGATTTAACCGGTGCTTATGTGCTGTCCTGGCACTCTGCACGGTGCTGCGTTTGTCCTGGGAGAAAGCAGGCTAATGACTGGCAAGAAGATTCAGAATACCCAGTTCTTCAGCTTACAGTCAAGACTGTAAAAACATCAGGCAGACCCACTGGCTGGAGCAGGGGCTCTCTGTGCCCTGGCCCCAAAGAACACAAACATCTTCCCCAGCACTCAGCGGGAGAAAATCATGTAGAAGAAATCGCTGCAATGCAAAGCAGAGTGGGGATGGCCACGACAAAGCACCTCTGTCCAGCAGAGCAGACGTGGCAGCTGGGAGCATCCTCTCCCTTGCACAGCCAAATGGAAATGAGTCCAATCTCTTCCCAAGATACAGAGCAGCACAACAGAGCCGGGCAAGCCAGCTGCCTGATAAAAAGAAGTGGCCCTATGCTGGCTGCTGTGCACTCTAGGGCATGGTCTGTTTAGCTCAGGATTAGCTGAAAAAACAGCAAACAGGAAAAGGGGGAAAAATGTCCTCAAGCAAAGCAGTCAAATAAAAGGAGAGGAAT